TTGATGGAACAATGGAGTCTGATACACAATCAGTAGTTGCTGAAAACAAATTTTACAAAACCTCCGATCATCTTTTTTTACCAAAAGAGAAAATCTCTTTAAGACATGCTCTTTAGAGCAAAAATATAATTTGAAGGCGGTAACGCGCCGCGACCACGAAAGCCACATTGGGAGTCCGAGCTGGTCTATCTTTACCTTTATTCTCATGTCGCGTCGCCGCGACTTATCGCTTGTATCCACTTTTCTCGTCTCTCTGTTGTCAATTCTTCTTCGAAGGAAGACTTATTTTTAATAACTGATGGTATTCGATAAAGTCAAGTCCCAATTACTTCTGCTGCTACAGCCGAAAACTACACAAAGAACCATTTTTACTTTCTCACTAACACCTTACTACGAGCGCATTTGTAACTATTTGCTTGGGCACCAACATGGTGGATAGCAACCGTCGTCAAGACAAAAGTCACGTGGGTGGAAACTAAGAATCCCTGCCTAAATGTATATAAATGAAAAAGGAGAAAAGTAGAAAGAAACACTAAGCGAAGCAGTCAAAGTAATCACAAAGCTAAATTGACAGATCTAAGTGTATGGTCTCTTCATTCTGCGACTAAAACGCGTCGCGCTAAGATATAATTCCACCAAACACTCCTCTGAGAAAAGCGCTGGAAGAATTAAAGCATGCCTGCGTGATTAAAAGTCATCAAGGAAAGGGATTGATATGTCTGGGGTACAGGCTCTTAACCCGTTATATTGTAAGTCAATCTCAAGATAGTTAAGAAGTGTAAATCTCGTCAAATTAAAATCCAGCAAAAATTTTAAACTGTAAAGTGTTTAATAAAGTCACTAACAGTTAAGATTTCCTTGTAGTAGAGACTAAAGGTCTTAAACCATTGAAACTCGGCTATATAATTACAGTTCTTTTAATACCTATTGTTTACTAAACAAATGAATTCCAGGCTAGTTATTCTTTATGCTTTTATGTAGCTCTGTCTATTGAGGCGTCACAACTACTGAAGCGCTCTTATTTCAAAGGGAAAGCTGACATTCAAGCGCAGAAATGATCCACGCAGGTTAAACTCAAATTTAAGTAGTTGTGGAGAAGAAACCTCTAAAACGTTCAGGCCTCTAATGAATTCGTGCCTTCCAGCTACTTGCTAAGAGCCATCACCAACTGAGCTACGAAACCACACGTTGCGAGCAGGGCAATTCGGGTAGTGGGTTCTTTGTTCCTGTAATGAAAACTACATTCAAAACAGAATTCAATATTTTTTTGTTTTTTCCATAACGTTTGTTAAGCTTCTCTCCCCGATAAGGTTGCAAAGTTACTCGCTTATGAACAACTTACTGAATCAAAACGGAAACTCTCAAACTTGCGCAATCTTCGCGGAATGAAAATAAATAATGGCGACAGCAACAGGCCCACGGAAATTTTGCAAGAAGGAATAAAGTATTTAACGAATTCGTTGGCACTTTTTAAGATAGTGTTCACGACAGATATTCTTAAAGCTCGGTATACCGTCTACCGACATGATAGTTATTTTTGAAATGATTATTTACACCTGTCGTATAAACAGACTTACTATTGTTTTGTGCGCAAAAATTTATAGGGTTTTTCATGATTCCTTTTGATTACTTTTATTTTCCTCTTTGGCGATTGAAAATGTGGGAAAAGTTCCCAAAGGACAAGATTTGGCCAATCAGTTCACATTTCGTGACTTTCCAGAGCTATCTATTTTATAGCTGTGTAATTATTCTGAAATGACGGTGTTTGCCCCATATGCCAAATGAATGGGAAAACACAAAACAGGTTTTTTTTATAGTTAATATAATTATTCAGTGAGTTACTAAAACTGTAGAATTGTTTTTACTCCAATGCAGAATACAAAAGACTTACATTTCTGAAATTTATTTCTGAATTAGTTATTCCCAGGGAAGCTATCTAAAGATAAAAGCAGTGATAATAATATCTAAAAACAAAATGAGAACGACACAATTTTCCGAGTATCTTCCTTTTTTTTTTTTTTTTTTTTTCTTCGTTCTCTTGTTTTATTTTGATGATTGTTACAGGCAAATACTTATAAATATAAGTAAGGTACTTACTAATTAGTAAATTTTGTGCACAAAGGACGTTGGAGGAGATATTTAAATAAGAAACTTGTGTCGCCGCCCTTTGATTAATAATGAATAGCAATAAGGATAAAACTTCGGCGCATCGCGCTTTAATACCCTGACAGTGCGAGAGATGGGCAACTGATGGCTGCTGCATTCATCTAATAGTGATGAAAATATTTCCTGACAAGACTCTTAAGATGGAGCGCCGTTGCTGCCCAGTGTTTTTTTTTCAGATCTTTCCTCTTCTTGTTCGGAGGCTGGTTCTACACCGTGACAGTTGCGAACCAAGGTGAGTTAACTTTTTAACATTGCTTTGTCTGGGTTTGATTAAAATTTACTCCTGAAGTCAGAAAAATCCGGAATTAAAGGAAGCTAAGTCGAGTTGGCGATAGGGCCAAAAAATAATGCATAATGATTTGAATAGCTTATTCCATCGTATAGGGTAATAAGGCTCTGAATTAAAACTGCTGTGACCATTTCTAAGAAACTTGAGCACAACGAAATATGATATTTTGTTTGCAAGTATAGCTTATTGAAGTTCATAAAAACGGTAACTACGATTTAAGAGGGAGCTAAACAAGTTTAAGACGAGTTGCAACAAACTCAGCCGTGACCGGAACGTAAATCGATATATTTTATGATATTTTTTTAATGAGGTTTTCCTAAATTCTAAATTTTGATGAGAATTTATTCAGATCAATTCCATCATTAAACAAGCAATAAATGCGAACTAAAAGCTACAATTCGATGAAAAAAGAAATACTTTTTTGCTGGTTGTTAACAATGATCTAACTGATCGAGAGTTTGCGGAGTAACACTAATAAATGATTCATCAGAAGGAATAAGACACCATGAGACCAGTGTAACGTGAGAAAAAAAATATCGATAAGTGGAATGTTATTAAAAAAAATAAAGGGTTTTGGTCTCTCAATAATTTTCTTTCTTATTTTTCGATGGTTCTAAAGCCATTTTATTTGTAAAAATGAGTCGTGATGCTTGTTTACCCAATAAGTATTCAAACTCTGAGAAACACTACATGTTGTCGAATATTTCAAATGCAGGTGTTTCACGAGTGTTTGACTTCGCCTCAGTCTTGAAACGGTAGACTATTCGTTCAAATCATCTTCTAAGGAACAGACGAAGTTATCTGTTAAAAGAAATGCAATATAGGTGTTTTTGGAATTCAGATAAATGCTGAGGCTAAAACGCTTCAATTGTTAAAATTGTTTACGATCAATAAGAAAAACCGGTAAATGAGGTCTTTATCCTTTTCCACTCGACTCTTTATCTTTCATCATTATGAGAGTATAAGAACTCGTTTCTCCGCACTCGTTTTGATAAAAGGTAAATAAAATGAAAATGTTCTATTCCTAAGCAACAACTTTGCCTCTTTGGTGGCGAAAAATTAGACGCACCCAATTAAATCGCGGTTATTAATGATTTACCACGAGTAAGGAGTCTGTGAGTCAATGGAGTTAAACATAAGAGTCTTTATGACGCGGCCAAAAAGAGAATAGTCGCCGAGAAATCGAAAGAACCGAAGTGTTCTTTTTTCCCTAGCCTGTTTTGTCCTCTTTTCGTTCTGTTTCTCTTTGTAAATTTTTGGATTTCCCGTAAGACATTCTAATTCCGTTTCCCCTGTTTCGCGAAATGATCTTTCTCGAGAATCTCAAATGAGTTCTCTGTCACAAGACTTTCAAGGGGGTCCGATATTTCATTGGTGGTGGCATGATCGCATTGGCACGCGTCTAAACGAGATGCAAAAACTATGAATAACTATGGAAGTCAAAAACTCGAGGTTTATTTTTCGCGTGTTATCTCTATTGAAACAAATTGATTGTGTGTGTAGATTTTTTGGATTTTCCTAATAATTGACCAGAATGTTTGTTAGATATTAACGCATCAAAGTAAGTTAGGCGAATAGAATTCGAAATATCACTCTCGTAATGTTCCGGAGCGTGGCAACAACCAAAATATTTTCTCCTGTCCAACTTCATATTCCTGTTTAACCAATGCACAACTTTTGGCAGTAAGTGCATGTTAGGTAACCGATGAAATTGGCGGAGGTGCACGTGAACTGATCAGTAAAGGGATTGCTTGGGTTCCAATATTTCTGGACGTCGTGAATGAAAGAACAAGTTTTGCATCGTGTGTGCGTGCGTTTGAAAGTTCCGGGTTTATAACTACTTTGTATTGAACTTCTGTTTCGTTCCGTTGCCGATATTTTTGTCGCGTTTGAGTAAAGGTAGTAGAGGTTGCCAAAGAAAACGACTTGGTGACCGATTCCGAGAACACACCTGCGACGAAACCCTTTACAATGGCAAATTTACATTATAGACTCAGTTGATAAAATACAATGACTTTGCTATACTCTCCCGCAGACGCAGCATCACAATTTCTTTAGAAACTTACCTCCCATTTATACATTATAAATAACATTGCCTATAAGTAGTTCTCTAAGTCGGGTGAGGTTCTGTAACATTCTGTGAGTGCCAAAATTGAAAAAAACTAGTCAATAGAACGGCAATATCCCAACCAAAGACTGTCGAAAAGCGATGCACACTCCGAACGTTTGGTAGATAGATTCTAGAATCCAAATAGACTGAATTTTCAGCCCATTGAGTTGATGTCCATAGAAATACTCAAATCTCCAAGATCGCTCGATCTTTGAATCTATTCAGGTTTTATTCAGTTAAAGTCTACTCTATTGGCATCTTTCAGAGAGCCGTTTTGCACACTTATGATCCACTACTGTCTTATTTATAGATAGCTGTCGGCGAGTCAAGTTCATGGAAAAAGAGGATGGATATGCATTGGTCAACCATATTTTAAAAAATATTTCATTACCTGTCGGAATGCATACGTACAGCAACTGCAAGAATAGGTGTATGATGGAAGACAGATGTAAATCAATCAACATGGGACCAGAAGATAAAGATAAAGTTTTATGTCAGATAAGTGACTCAGACCACGTTCAACACCCAAATGATCTGAAACCGACAGAAGGCTTTACGTATAGGGGCATGGAGGTAAGCAAAAAAATTTCGGTTTTTGAGTTTGCAAATTTTAAATCCTCTTTTGTAAATCGCGCGAAAAAAGTCACAGAATCGCAATGTCTATTCCGAATGGGAATTTGAGAATAAACATCGTTCAAATGAAGTAATTTAAAGAGAGGAAATTAGCAAATGGTGCCCCGAATGAATCGACAACATGGAGTGCTCGCGATTCCTATGCACCTGCAAAAAGCTCTTTGGGATCGTGCTATGAATGATCTCATCGGTCTCAGCAATTAGAACCTTTTTGAGGATATCAAAGAGGAAAATTAAAAGAACCTAGTAATATTAAAGCATCAATTGATTAATGTTTCTTTTAGCTTCGCAGTGTAATAACGCACATGGGATAGGTTGTGTTATGCGGCACTCTGGGTTCTAACCAATCAGTTACCGTTATTTGGTACCACGTGACGCAAGTTTTCCAATCATATACCAAAAGTTTGAAATTACACACAATTCTTACATTTTAGCGGCTCTAGAAAGTCTGCCGATAAGGACTTTGCACATTTTTAGCGGAAATGACGTTTTTTCCGCCGAATATGAGAGCTGAAATAAGAGCTGCTAAAAAGAAATAGTACTTTTTCTGCGTTGATGGTTTGTTTTCTCTCCATGAATTTTCTTGATGTGCACAATGGAACAAAATTGTATGGAATTGGTTGGATAGGAGATCCTTGTTGCAAGCGGGACGCCCACTCTTCCTGGTGGAAATCGCTCAGGATGTTGTTGTTTTACAATGGAGAAACTGAAGTTTCCTCTCGTGCAGAAATAAATCATCTATAAGTTCTCGATGTACAATAACAGAATACGATCTAATAGCTCTGAACAAAACATTCCAATTTATTCGAGTTTCATCCACAGGCATGAATTTTAAGTGTTTGGATAAGTAGGCGCCTTGAGTGGAAAAGACGTAGTTGAAATAGAAGAAGATGAAAAATTACAAGAAGAGGAAGAACTGGAAGAAGAAAAATAAGAAGAGGAGGAAGAACTAGAAGAGGAGGAGGAGCTAGAAGTAGAGGAAAAACTAGAAGAAGAGGAAGAAGAAGAGGAAGATGAAGAATTAGAAGAAGAAGAAGAAGAAAGACTAGACAAAGATGAAAAACTTGAGAAAGAGGAGGAAATAGGAGAAGAGAAAAACCTGAGGAAGATGAAGTACTAAGGAAAGGGAGGAACTAGAAGAAGAGGAAGAACTACAAGAAGATGAAGATTTTGAAGAATATGAAGAACTAGAAGATGAAGAACCAGAAGAAGAGGGGGAACTAGAAGAAGAGAAAGAACTACAAGAAGATGAAGATTTTGAAGAAGATGAAGAACCAGAAGAAGAGGAGGAAACTAGAAGATAAAGAACCAGAAGAAGAGGAAGAACTAGAAGATGAAAAACAAGAAGAAGATGAAGAACTAGAAGAAGAAGAGGAACTAGAAGAGGGGGAAGAGCTAGAGGTAGAGGAAGAACTAGCAGGAAATGAAGAATTAGAAGATAAAGAACTAGAAGAACAGGAGGAACTTAAAGATAAAAAGAGGAAAGAAGAGGAAGAAGAAGAGGAATAACTAGAAGAAGATGAAGAAAAAGAGGAAGATGAAAAACTAGAAGATGATAAAGAGATACAGGTAGATGAAGAACTAGAAGATGATGAAAAACTAGAGAAAGAGGAAAAAGTAGAAGAAGAGGAAGAACTAGAAGAAGATGCAGAACTAAAAGAAGAGGAGGAACTAGAAGAGGAGGAAGAACTAGAAGAGGAAGAAGAACCAGAAGAGGAAGAAAACTAGAAGTAGAGGAAGAACTAGAAGAGGAGGAAGAACTAGAAGAGGAGGAAGAACTAGAAGAGGAGGAAGAACTAGAAGAGGAGGAAGAACTAGAAGAGGAGGAAGAACTAGAAGAGGAGGAAGAACTAGAAGAGGAGGAAGAACTAGAAGAGGAGGAAGTATTAGAAGAGGAGGAAGAACTAGAAGAGGAGGAAGAACTAGAAGAGGAGGAAGAACCAGAAGAGGAGGAAGAACTAGAAGAGGAGGAAGAACTAGAAGAGGAGGAAGAACTAGAAGAAGAGGAAGAACTAGAAGAGGAGGAAGAACTAGAAGAGGAGGAAGAACTAGAAGAGGAGGAAGAACTAGAAGAGGAGGAAGAACTAGAAGAGGAGGAAGAACTAGAAGAGGAGGAAGAACTAGAAGAGGAGGAAGAACTAGAAGTAGAGGAAGAACTAGAAGAGGAGGAAGAACTAGAAGAGGAGGAAGAACTAGAAGTAGAGGAAGAACTAGAAGAGGAGGAAGAAGAACTAGAAGAGGAGGAAGAACTAGAAGAGGAGGAAGAACTAGAAGAGGAGGAAGAACTAGAAGAGGAGGAAGAACTAGAAGAGGAGGAAGAACTAGAAGAAGATAAAGAACTAGAAAAAGTTGAAGAACTAGAAGAAGAGGAAGAACTAGAAGAAGATGAAAAACTAGAAGAGGATCAAGAACTAGAAGAAGAGGAAGAACTAGAAGAAGATAAAGAACTAGAAAAAGTTGAAGAACTAGAAGAAGATGAAAAACTAGAAGAAGATCAAGAACTAGAAGAAGAATAGGAACTTGAAGAGGAGGAAGAGCTAGAGGAAAAGGAAGAACTAGCAGGAAATGAAGAATTAGAAGATGAAGAACTAGAATAAGAGGAGGAACTAGAAGATGAAGAACTAGAATAAGAGGAAGAAGAAGAGGAAAAACTAGAAGAAGATGAAGAACTAGAGGAAGACGAAGAACCAGAAGAAGTTGAAAAACTAGATAGAGAGGAAGAACTAGAAGAAGATGAATAACTAGAAGAGGAGGAAGAACCAGAAGAAGATAAAGAACTAGAGGAAGAGGAAGAACTACAGGAAGAGGAAGAAGAAGAGGAGAGACTAGAAGAAGGGGAAGAACTAGAAGAAGATGAAGAGCTAGAAGAAGATGATGAACTTGAGGAAGAGGAAGAAGAAGAGGAAAAACAAGAAGAAGGGGAAGAACTAGAAGAAGATGTAGAACTAGAAGAAGATGTAGAACTAGAAGAGGAGGAAGAACTAGAAGAGGAGGAAGAACTGAACAAATGTCGATCTGCGCGTATTCAAAGGAAAATGGAAAAATTGAAACATAAACTTTATCAGGGAAGGACAAAACCATGTTTGTAGACAAGAACAACAGCTTTCATAACTAGAGTTTCAAAGAGGTGGAGCTGTCGTACAGAACTACGTATGTTCCAGAACTACGCTGAGGAGGTCATGAAACCTTAAGCAATTCACTTCTCATCTCTCTTAGGTGACTTTCGATGTCAACTTGTCCGGATCACGGAATCTGTGTCGTGATAGATGACACGATCGTCGAGATGGTCCAAGTACTCATGAGGTGAAGACACAGAAGTCACGGCGAGTTTATTTAATCTTTCACCGAAATTTTGCCCAGAACGAATTCAATTTGGCCAGGGATCGTTGAGCTGGATTCATAGAAATACGTCTTGGTTCCACTTGGTTTCTTTCGTGCTCTTCGTCCTATTAATGTATTATTGCAACTCTTTTTCTGTTCGCACGTGAGATGGTCCTCCACTGGCTTCTTGCCTCATTTTCAACCAAGTATTTGTATCCTTGGACGCGTTGATCTTCTGGGAATGCCACACTTCATGTATTTTCAAAATGCACTTCCCTTTCTCTACCACTTTAGCAGTCTTGGGTGTGCACTACGTGCCTCTCAAAATACGCTCTACATTTGTATGTTCAGATACATATCGGAGTTGTAGCATGGGTTTCTTTTATTCAAGTTCTATACAGGTACGACACAAGTATCATATGACGGGATTAAAGAATCGGCCAGAAGGAGGAATGTCAATCTAAGCCTATCTGAAAAGTTAAGAATTCTCTTGTGTCTTTCAAATCGTGAATATGTGGGGATTTCCTACGGAATAAGGTCTGTACTTGTTCTCTAAAGGATACTCGGAAGTGACATCGATGTAATGAACTTTTCCCTTTTGTCTCGTCCGTCTTTTGATACAGACAGTCAGCTCCTATTCTTACACCATGAAAAGCATGACGGGGACTCAAGGCCTAACCACTACTAGATCTTTCAAAAATTCCTCCAACAGAAGATCATGTAGGGCTTCAAAATCCCAGTCATCTTCCCATTCCTCGATGACTTTGTATCCCATCAGTTTCAACGAGGCCTTATCTTCACAGATGGTCTCCTACACACTCCTCTCGTAATACAGTAGGGTGTACCGAAGAAATCGCATGACAACGAGGACATCTGCACCATAAACATCCGTGAAATTCGTATGCATCGTATCCGTCAACGTTATAGACTCACGTAGGTGTCACGATCGCACGTTCCCCTCGATTCCTAGCATGCGAAACTCGATCTTCCTCTCTTCCTTTGGTGTCATTCAAACGCAGCATGTGTTCTATCCGTTTTAACCATTTCAAAGCTTTGGTAGATTAATTATTGCGCACCCCATGCCAACCACCAGGTGGTTCCACGATGATGTTTGCTCCAATGCATATTACTAGCTCTGGTAATAGTGATACAATGTTCCATAGGATCAAATTGGGCCTCTTGAGTAAATTTTTTCGGAATTTCTGACATCCGGCTCTCAAGAGCTTGAGAGATGCAATAATCTGCCATCTCTTAAAATATATGAGAGTTCACATCCCGTCGAATTTTATCATGGAACCAGGTCTCAAATTCTCGTCGATTGTCGTGACGCATACCGTTATGATAAAACGTGTCGCAGGCGGCAAGAGTCCGTCGTAATTTTGATTTTTACTTGTGTTAAACAAATGAGTGAAAAATTAGGAAACGAAGTCAAAGAAGGGGAAAGAAATAAAACGAGTCGAACGTGATAGGACCTGATGTCACAGATAGGAGTTTGGTTCCCACACAGACTTGATTCTCGACCATACGATGCTGTCGAAAAGTTCTTCCAAAACAAACATCCCATCGTATCCTTTAAGATTATGAAACAATACCTCGACAGACCATTAAAATCCATTTTCGCTCACGGCCACTTCATTCAAGAAATCGAAAACAAAATTCTTCGGAACAATTTTCAACGCAAAACTCCTGCGCCTTCTCATCGTTAGCGGCTGTCTTTCAACACAAGAGAATAGGATGATGTTGCAATCTTCAACATAACGTCCTACTCGTCTTTTTTTCTTTTTTGCCTGTTTAATGTAACACTTATGTTGACATATTCCCCACAGACTTGGCATTTGGCCACTCCTCATCGATATTTGGCGACTATGGATCTTCGATCATCCCTATTTTGATTCTTTCTTGTGGCTGTTTTCGACTTCCTTAAATAATTCGGAAAAATTATTTGTACGTTTTGCAAATAGATTCACGCAAGGATTGGGTCGAGTCTATGATACCGATAATAAACTTCTCCATAAAACGAACGTAGACATACACAGCACATCTGAAGAGAAGTGTCACTTTGACGTTTTCCAGGACAATTACGGCGATGACACGAGAAACATTTCTTTCCTCCGCAAGTATGATGATCATAATCATCTGTATTAAATGCACAGTCGCATTCGTGACGATTTGCTCAAGATTCCTCCTTACGATGCGAAACCATGATGGTGATGTCCATCTACTTGCACCGGTTCAATCTTTGCAAGGACCCTTGAAAATAGTCAGGTGAAGCTTATTCAACGACACCACTTGAATCTGGTACTTAAGACTCGCTGCTTTTTAAAACTTTTCCAATTCCCTTACACCACAAGAGCATTCTTCCACACCTGCCAATCGATATAGCCACGTTACGTTATACGATCAGTCCATTTGAGCCGCATGGTACTAAATAACTCTATCCGATTGATTAGGACCCAGAGTGCCACATAACATTTCTGGGATGTTGTAAGATCTTTTTATAACGCCAGAAAAATTTTTCCATGTCGTATCTGAGACCATTTAAGGACAAGTTTTTGTACTCTTTTTTGTGTTCTCATAATATATCAAAAGAGTTATTATCAATCCGAGCGTGTATAGCATCTTTATGAAAAATAAGGCAATATATATATCAAAGTTCACATGGCAACCAAGTAGACAATCAGACATGGTTTCGTGTTACTCTGGTTTAAAGATTTAATGAATGTAACCGAGAAGTTACATTTAATAGACCCAACGTTTCGACATTCCTGTTTAGTGTCTTCTTCATCACTTCTTATCACCTCTGATTAAGACACTAGAAAGGAGTTTCGAAACGTTGCGTCTATGAATTGTAACTTTTTGGTTACATTCATTAAATCTTTCAACCAGAGTAGCATCAAACCATGTCTGAAGGTAAAATATGTTTTCACCAGAACAAGTGTTGCCTCAGTATGTGCCATAAGAACGCAACTTGCCTGGTTGGATTTACGGACAAGGGATACAAATGTGTGTGTCAGGCTGGTTACAAGGGAGAACATTGTGAAAAAGGTGAGGACCACTATGCGTTGCATCACGCATATTTACTATTTCATGTATGTGTCCTTTATATCAGTTTAAGTTTCGTAGCGTAAATGTACATATGTCCTTCGAGCAGTTACGATGCAATTATAACACTTTGTACCCATTTTTGGTTTTTGTTTCATTTCGATACTCGCGTCCCATGGGATACTTCGTGTCATCTCGTGTAGTGTATCGCGCTTTAATCATTTGTTTTAGATATTGACGAGTGATCTAACAATACCCATAACTGCCATGCCAAGGTTGTGTTTATAATATCCAGAAGTCTTACAGTTATAGATGTAAAGAAGGTTTTAAGGGAGAAAGATGAAATTTCATGGTTAAGTTCAGAGTAATCATTGCAATATATTTTTAGTAATGTAGCATTCCTAGATTACAAACCTTTTTTATTCTACCATAATTCAATTTTGCCAAAAAAAAGGCAAGAACACGCTCAAAAAGAAAGGTCACAACGGAGCGAATAAAAACAGTTAAAAACAAGAATAGATGCAAAAAAAAAAATTCCGAGAATAATAATAATGATGATTATAATCGAATTATTTATTCAGTATAACCCTTCAATAAAAAGTACTGTTATCAACAAGGTCCTTTTGATTAAGATTAAAAACTCAGAAATAAGAAATTAAAATATATATAAGATAAAATCTATTAAAACAAAAATACACTAAGTTAAAAACAATTAAAACAACAATGGAAACTACAAGTAATAATCGTCCGGACTTTCCTAAATGAAAACTCCAGAATTTATGTTCCTTAAACCTGAAGGTAACGAATTAAAAAATCGAGGCACCCAAAAATAAAAATTACGGCGCGCAAAATCCAGTTTGGCTTTTGGTAGCTTTGTTGTTTTTCCATTGTTCCCTGTGTTTATTGCGTTATGTTGTAAAAAAAAACAAACAAACATCTGACGGAAAAGAAATCGTTAGAAAACTCCAGCTATACCGTCATCAGATTTTGTTAATCATTCGTGTATTTACAGACCGAATCAAAACTCCACTCGATCTTTTCACCATCTCTTTTAAAACTGATAGAATGGTGACTTGACATATCAAGATAAAAACCAATAAAATAAACATAGGTAATAAGAAAGCTTGACTATACTTTTTAATAAACGAAAGAACTTATGATATGAAAAGAGGTTGAGTTGAACCTTTTTTGCCCTTCAGCATTCAAAGCAGTTTTGACAAATCTCAATGCCACTGGAAGATATGGTCCAACATCGCTGGGCAGTCATTACAAAGGTCAGGATCATGACGGACAAGTTACATTGTCCAGCGGTATTCAACAGTGGACTGTGCCGTACACTGGTGACTACAGAATAGAAGCAATAGGAGCAGCAGGAGGGTACGATCGAGGGATTAACAGCTCTCAGTACCGTGGAAGAGGAGCAAGAATGATTGGAACATTCTGCTTAAACAAGGGTGAGGTCATTCAAATACTTGTAGGTCAAGAAGGAGGAATAAACAAGAGGAGTTTTGCTTCTGGCGGTGGTGGAGGTACATTTGTAGTGAGAGGAGCCGACTCACCTTTGATAATAGCCGGAGGCGGAGGAGGCACAGAACATGTTTTGTCAAGGCATAAAGGATGCGACGCCAGTACAAATACAACGGGGAATCCTGAATACAGATCATGGTCAGGGGGGAGCAATGGGCATGGTGCTCAAATTGCTGATGATTATTTTTCAGGTAAGATAATACTGTGATGATCCCTTACCTCTCAGCTCCTCATTAATGAAATTGTTAATGTATGTTTCAAATTTAAATAATCGGCCCTAGTCCCCCCAAAAAACCAACACTAAACACTGAGACTACCTAGGCAAAGCACCAGTTTATGCATATAGGGATAATATAGACACATGTAAAAATATTAAACCTAACGGATGGCCGCTCAATAGAAATACATCATACACAGGTATGACCACGTTGATATAGGTACATTAGGGATTCAAAATAAGGAAAGTCTACGACCTTAATCATCAATGGTTTCTGTTTGTTATTTTCTCAGGGGGTGGTGGTGGTGGGTTTTACTCCAGTGGAAGAAGTGGAAAGTATTTCAATGGGACCAAGGGAAACGGCGGAGAAGGTGGTAAGGGATTTCTACAGGGAGGGGTGGGTGGAAGAGCAGTATATCACAATGTTGTTGGTGGGTTTGGTGGAGGAGGTGGAGCTTATGGACGGGGAGGAGGAGGAGGAGGAGGAGGAGGGTACTCTGGGGGAAGCAGTGGAGATGCTAGGTATGATTCCTGTGGGGGAGGGGGTGGCTCTTACAACGATGGAAACAACCAGGACAATGCATGTTGTTATAGTACGGCTGGTCATGGTCAGGTGACTATCACATTACTCTGAAATGAAAAAAATACGTGTAATCAAATTTAGTGATGACGGAATTAGAATTCAACTCTGTATGATTGGCATTCCGGTTGACTGATAGCAGTCACTAAAAGTATAATTTGGCCCGAAATTAAAGGAGGCTCTTATCTACGACTAAAAAGACAAAAAAAAGCTCAAACAATTTGAGATGTAATGATTTTTTTCCCGCAGACGGATTTCACACGTTGTACCTCTGATAATGGATTGAACTTAAACTCGATCAAATATCATCAACTTTGAAGTTAAAGGAATGAAATTCGGTTTTCTTGTTTAAGTAGCCTACGTTACTAAACGTTAGAGCAAATGTTGTTTAACCCTTTACCTCCCATGAGTGACCAAGAAAGAAATTCTCCTTACATTATCAATACAATATTAAGCATACAAGTGATGAGAATAAAGAAAAATATTAATTCGGGAATTGTTAGTTGATTCAATACCAAATTCTCCAAATTAACATCATAACAGTTGTATGGCAGACAGTAAGGAGAATTACTTAAGAGATCTTGGGAGTTAAAAGGTTAATCCTAGCAATAGGGTCATTTGGAAAGATGACATTACGCATGGACCAATCATCACAAGGGGCAACCGTAAACGATGAGAAACAAATTCTGGACGATTTTATGAGTGTGAAGTATTGCCTGTTTGTTAGCACCATCACGCTGACCCTATTTACCGATCCAAAGAGAAGATCAGTATAGATTTGAATCCAAACAGTAAGGATCCTTCTCATACAGGAGTAGTCAAGAACCCAAATGCCTTTTCAAACGCTGCGAAAAGGTATAATCTTATGCTTAAGTAATCGTAATCAAATAATTAAGAGTGAGATAAGTAGGTAATTTCACCCACGACTTGCCAAGATTTTAATTCGTTTGGTAAGACAACTAAAAAAACCGGGAAAGGTTTCAACTAGTATAACAACAACAGCTTTCTCTTTTCGCGTCTTGAAATTGTAAAGCCAAGCTAAGTTCCGGACTAAAATTAGGTACGACGTATCTGTTAGTATTTGGTTAAATCAAAAACCATTAAAAATTCCTCAAATATTATTGGTGCATTTGCAGCCTCGTTTTTCAAAAATCATTCTGTACAGTTATAAGAGGACAGTGTAATCGAACAGTCAGCTGTAATCGGAAACCTGTAATAAATTGATAACAGGACTTCTTTTCGTCAAATTCTGCCTGTAATCGTATCGACATTTTGTCAATCGCTCGTATGATTACAGACCGAGTTGGACTCCACTCGGTCCTATTACCATTACAAATAGTAGCGATAGAAAGTAAAATGGTCCTTTTGTTGTGTGAAGTATACATATTGCACAAGTGTTTGATTTAAGTGATAACATCTACATTTACTTGTAGTCCTAGATAACTGCATGACCTACATTTGGTTTTCCAACATACCTTTTACGAGAATTTATATCACGCATTTTAGTAGAATATTCTGGAGAAAGAAAAGTACGCTAACCATGTATTTCGAATATACACTTTTGGTAACAAAGAGATATCGATGCCATCGGCTAAAAAGTTTTTTGTTTGACCTAGAAAGAGTAAGACTGCTCTATGACCTTAGGTCCAGTCGAAAGGGGGGAAAAAGATGGTTGAATCTCTGTTTCCCTCGAACAGAAGAAGCTTGATGTTGATGTACCTTGCCTAACGTGAACATTACCTTGAATAAGACTTAGAGGTATTATAACAGCTGTAAATTTGACACAAGGCAAGGTTTAACTTAGCGTCTCCGCATGAAACTTTTAAAGGAGAAAAGTGTTCCTGAAGTTTTATTTCATTTCAAAACATTATAAAGCTGTTGCTACATCGTAGGTGAGACTGGAGGTTTAGTGCTAGCAATAAAAAAATACTCTCCAGTACATTGTCTGTGTTTTTCTTGACTGTACAGGCCAAGATCGAGCAGAACTATTGCAAATTACCATCACCTTCCTTTTCCATTTTGCGCGTGAATGATAAAATTCCGCTACGTCCAGTCTAAAAATCAATTTCAAACTAGAGTCGAAGGACCAATGAATAAACAAAGAAACTTAGCAGGACTACCTTCATTTAGAAATTACCTACCCTCCCCCCTCTCCTTAGAGTAAATTTCGATTTGACACTTCGTTCTCTTCTCTATCGAAAGAACAGTCATATCTGACACAAAAATATTTGGGGAATTTTGAAAGATAAACTCCCGGTGCTGGGCCTATTCGATTAAGGATTGGTACATCTGCAGGAGACACTGGAAACTGAGTACAGTAAAATATACATTAAACAGGAAGCTAACCAAAAATTGGGGCTTGGAATTTTGCTGTGGCTGCACTGCGGAAGAAACGAGTACAAAAAATACCTAAAAATTGTCTAATTTAAGGGGAGAATCCTTGCCTTTTACACCAAATTCTATCTAAAAATGTCATGCTTCATGCTGAAAAAATGGATCTGCAGATGTAAACAAAAGGTGCTTCCAATTATGATTAATACAAGGGATTTAACTGATTCTTTTGGAGCAATTTAGAGGTTTTCCAAAGAAGTTGCTTCATTACAAATCCTTTTCTTTTCATCCAGTAATGTGTTAAAGATAAACAGCTCAATGCACAGGTGGCAAGCAATTAAATTTTCCAAGAACTCCAAGGCTGTGAAATATTATGTTTATGTGTTGTCAAACAGACGTATGCATAGGTTAAGTCAATATTTTGACTTCCCGACGCAAATTAATGTCTTCATTCTTTACAAAATTTCACATTGATCTGTTTACTCGTTATGAAAAGTCTCATGTAACAATCTCCTCTGTCACTGATCGCAGTAATTCAGTACATTCAAGTTATAGGAGTGTTTCAGCAAATGGGGCTCGAAAACTCATCGAATCTCAGCTCGCCGTTATGGGCTTAGAAAGTCAAGTCAAATTGATTTTCTCATCTCCCGGGTGGAGGGAATAATTGCCTAAAAACGAGAGGGCGTGTATATCAGTTGAGTATCGTATTGATACTTATCAATAATTAATACAGTTTGTCAGTGATGAATCTGTCGAAGACTTTGCGAACGCTTAAATAGTGCTAGACTCGCGCTTCTCCCTTCAAAAGTAAGATTTGGGAATCATGTCCTTATTTTATGTTGAGGATTGAAGAGCGCTGTTCTTTATTTTTGTCTCCGCTTTTAAATATTTTTCTGTGGGGAGGATGGCTTCTCTGCTTTACAGAAGGAAGCCAAGGTAAAGAATTTGATTCACTCCTCTCCTCACTTAATGCAACTTTAATCTAATATGCGATTTATGAACTGCCCAAAAAAGTCAAGTTTTCATTTTCCCCATCGACTCTTTACGTTTAAGCTTAATTTTGCTATTGATTTCCAACTTGGAAATCGAGTGAGTATAGTATTTTAATTAATATTCTTCTTCCTATTTCGTAAATTTAGTTGGACAAAATGCTTCTGCTTTTTTTTTTTTTCCGGTGTAAATGGTTTCTTTTATCCTCTTTTTTTCCGGTGGTGGAATTTTTCTTTTACATAAACTTTGCGATATATTTTCCCAACTTGCGGTAAACTTTTAAGATACGCCACACTTCTACGTCTCTTAGCTTCATTTCACTTTGTATTTCCAGCTTTTTAAATATTTTGTCAAAATGGCTCATTTCACATAGCTCCAATCAAAAAGGAAGAAGGGGAGGGAGGGGGGATTGAGGACGCTCTTTTGGGGGAAAACGTTTATTTTACCTTTGTACCTTTAACTCCCCTTTAACTTTTTTTCTTCATCTTCGTTGATATACCACTGAATAAAGTGTATCTTATCACAAGAATATGTTTGTATTCCACAAAATATCTTCTTTCTAAATAATGAAGAAAGCTTTAATTAGTAATGAGAGAAAAACGAAATTTTCATACAGCACTGATTAAAATCCAACGCTCTTCCAAAACATGTAGAAGTGGTAAATTTCAGTCCTAAAACACTCCAAGTAAAAGCTGATTTTTTGTCACAATTATTGTATGATGTGATCGATTTGAAGGAAACGCGACAATTTATACAGAACTATTTAATTACATCGAGAAACAATTCGAGAAGTCAATTCATACCGTTTCGAAATAACATCTTTGTACAGCCGTACCTTTGACTCCTTCAGTCTCTTTCTCCCTCAGAATTATCCAGTTAAAAAATGTAGTCGTATGATGTAAAATTCTATCGTAATTTTGTTTCAACTTTGCGAGATATATAGCTTTGCTTACGAAATCTCGTAGGATGAAATGTCATTCAAAAGCCTTGAATACTGACTTCTTACCAACCGAGCGAGGGGGCCGTACTGGGGAATATTGGCCTAAGGTCACAGCGCTGGGTCCGCACAGAAACAACTGAGGGCCAATAATCTCCTGGACGGCTCGAGCAAGTGATATGTTTGAGCTGAGCAATATTTTAGCCGGCACTTTCTCTTTTAAGACGATTTCTCATTTGTGTAAAATTAACGACTAACCTGACATTAGACCATTGCTGATTTAACATGAAACAGAAATGTGGAAGAGTTTGTTCTACTGTTTGAAGCAAAAAAGGTCCAACATGCTTGTCATCATATCTCTACCTAATCAGTTGCAGGTATTCACAGTCGAAGTCTCATGTTTGAAAAGCCAATTGAAGGACATGCTCTGCAACAGCACGTTTTCAAACAAATATATTTATCCATGGGAATTAAGCCAGATAGCGACTGCAAAAATAGGTGTCTCATGGAAAATACCTGTGTGTCCGTCAACGTTGGCCCACCCAGCAAGAATGGATTCAGGGTCTGTCAACTGAGTGATTCTGATCACAGTCAACATCCTGATAACCTTACACCCCAAGAAGGATACCAGTATTGGACTTCAAAGGTATCGATATTTGGATAGAACACAATACGATAGATTCCTTTTCCAATTTTCCTTGGTATGGTTATACTTAGTTTTTATCACAATAAATCCTACTAAAGGTAAATTTATCCTTGCAGAATCCATGTTCAAGCAGCCCTTGTCTTCATAATG